TAAAGTAAGACTTAACTGAAAAGAATAACAATAAAAAAAGCCTGAGAACTTAGCCTGGAAAACAAGGAATCGATTACTTATTTGGTTTGCCCACGTACTGAATTTGACTTGATAGAATAGATGAGTAGCAGTGTGGAGAGAAACTATGGCCCAATCCCGAGTAGAAGTTGGCACAGTAGAATCTACACCTGAAATGAACTAACCGAGTAAAACCTCGTAAATATATCTAATCAAATAACACGCAAGCTAAGCCAGCGATAATAACTATTTCCTGACGGAAATAGCAGTCGAGGGCTGGTAAACTTCAGCAGATTAAACAATTACTTGATAACATCAATGGCATAGTAAGTTCCTGCGGCAAGAACTGAGTTAACATCACGTTAAAAAACCGGCAGATTGTCCGGTCGAAAGGAAAAAGGTTAGCTCGCCTTGTCTGTTTTGCCCTTCCCCGCCAGCCTTAAGTTGTCGGTCCAAAATGCATATGTAGCATCCTGATACCTCAGAAATTTTGCCTCACCCGTAATCATGGAGATTTCGTTCATTTCGCACCATCTTCTCTTTTTTTCTCAAAAAACCCGTTACCAGCTCAATTTGCATCGCAATTGAAATCTGTACCTTATAACTCAATTTTACAGAAAATTAATACAAAATAAATTGCATTAGCTTGCCTTTGGTGCTAAAATAATCCAAGGTCTTCAGTTAGGGAAACTAAGCGCACGTCACCATAATTTCGTTGTGTTTCGCAGACTGGATGATCGTGTACATTATAGCTGCTTACTCAGTTTTCGTGCCTGGAATCGGCGGAATAATATGGGCTCTGTTTATCTGCGTGAAAGAGAATGATTAACCCTGTGCTCTAAAGGCCTGAAAAAACGTCATTCTCTGGATAACGTTCTCTAATATCAAAGCCCGGCTGTTCGACAATAACTTAAGGTTGAGAAAGGGACTTTCATTTCTTTAAAAATAACATATTACACCTGAGGGTGAAGCACTCATACTGTATTTGGAGATTTAGGTCTCGAAACTGTTTTGTTCGCTGTGTGCTTACTTGCACTTTAGTAGCTGAGAGGATAAGATTATATCAAAGTTATAGTTAAAGTCTCTGGCGGGTTAATAAAACAAAGTTTAGCCGTTGTTTTAACAATCAGCGTTCTAAACTATCTTGAATATAGCTGAATCTTTTTACTGAACATATGTTTTTGTGAACAGCGTCAAGAGGGCTGAAAGCTAATCCTCTTTTAAATGATACCTCAAGCCCACTGCTTGCGTAAAACAGCGGTTTGGATTACACCTCGTGTTGATAACCGGCCCTCTGTTTTTGATTTCTTATTGGCTCAGAAAGTGAGCAACATTCAATAGCATTCCAATCAGTCATTTTAATAAAAATTAAGTATTCGAAACTTGACGAGGATTTCTCTACCCGCCATGTGTGAGCACATTGATAAAAAATTTTGCATATTCAGGGGATTAAATTCCATTAGAAAGAGCTTCGCTGCCATTTTCATCTTTGGCTTCTGCCATCGTTCTCAACTTTCTCATTTTGTACAATTAAATTGTTCTACAATTAGTTTTTCTTCTCATTACGACTGGATTTTATTTTTTCGTATATATTTTCCTACGGTAGGCACCCCGCATTGGTCTGAGTGTCCCGTTCATGCCCACTCTTTTTGGGTTTTAATTATTTATGTTTGCATTTTTTTTTTCGGTTTTGATCTTGCCCAATAAAGCTTGACACAAAGATATAAAACTAGTTACCAACACTATCTATAGCTGTGTGAATCCATGTAAGTTTAATTTGCACGACACGAAAGCAGAAGTCTCTGTTTTATTGTCCATAAATGTGAGATCAGCATCCACCCCTGACTTGCAGTTTTGCTGTCATGATTCATGTTGCAGACAAAGGCTTCGTAGACAAAGGAGAATGCTGAACAATGACGAAGATAATGAAATGCTTCCCAAAGGTAAGTTCTCTCATTGAAAAAAAAAAGAAAAAAAAATGGTGAAGGGGATGGTTTTGGTTGGGTGACCCCTCATTGGCAGTCAAACTTATATAGCCCCCCTTTATACTCTGTTGGCAACGACTGATTCTCCTTTCCCCTTGAAAATCATGTGATCTCCCAAAAATAATCACCTCCCCTTGCTAAAGATGTTGAATGTACCCCAATCACACCTTATTTTTTAACAATTTTGCTCGCCAAAATTCTTTTTTGCAATTCCTTACTGTGCGTTTTGTTTTATTAGCCACACAGGCACGATGTAGAACCCCGATGCCAAGATACTAAGCAAGGCAGGCTTCTAACTATGACAACGTACCTTGTACCCGTCACCCGACCTTTGTGTCCATTTACGCACCAACCGTTGATAAGACTCGCAAATGAATATTTTATACTTTGCATCGACTAACGGTCCAGAAAAGACTTCAAAATGTTCAGCAGGCTTTAGAATCGGCGGTGAATTAAGTTGCTACAGTCGAGAAGATTGATGGTCAATTCAAATCATAATGGCATTAGTGTAACCTCTAACTTAAATTTTCTTTGGTATGCATGCAACCGCTGGTCATTGAGCGTGGCGACTTGGATTGCAAGTAGAGGAAACTAATATTGCACTTTTTAAATACGGGCCTCGTGAAAACAACAACAATGAAAAAAGCTATACACAAAAAACGTTGATGATACTTAGCGATCCCTTCCTCGTAAAATTTTACTGTTTTCGCGTTTTGCGTCCGGAAACTTCTGTAAATTCAAATAATAAAAAGCGGTTTTCTAGGTAAATAGCACACCCTTACACGATTTTGTTTGTACAGTAAACATTGCGATCAGTACTACGAAGTTCCAGTTCAATTACCTTCTCTTTCCTAAATTGATTTTTATTCCAGCGTTGAGAAAGCTCGTATTAGCCACAAAAAATGTTATACCGACAAAGCCCTCTTACGTGTTCAACGGAAAGGACATGAGGGGCTTCTGATGAATGTTTACCTCAGTAATTTAGACCTTTTTAATCAATTTCCATGTCGCAAGTGGTCAACAAGCATCCAGCTTGTTTTTAAAGCCACCGAAAGTTTAATTATTATATACTCAACAAAATATCGCGTTTCTGATTGGTCAATGATGAATGCATAAATAGGTTATAGAGTGCAATAGAGGTTATAGAGTGCAATACGGAGAAGTTGCCATGGAAACACCGGGGAAGCGCCAAATTTGAAGTACTCTTGCCGCTTTTAATAACTGAAATTTAGCTTTTGAGTTCGGCTTGTAATATTTTCTGAGAAACTTTCAAGAACTTCACGCTTGATTTACCTGTCACAACATTACATTTTTGATTGGTTCAAATAAAACATGTGAGCATTTTGGAACCCATTGAAGTGTTTTTTGTAGTACGTAAGGCGTGCAGAGTAGCGCGATGGAGTAATTTTGTCGAGAATATAATAAATAAAAAAATCGTATGAACCTGCTCGTGCATTTCGTGATTTATGGTCACTCGTGATGTTTTTAAAGTTCTCAAATTGCACTCGCCTACGGCTCGTGCAATTTTGAGAACTTTCAAAACATCACTCGTGCCCATAAATCACGAAATGCACTCGCGCTCATACGATTTCCTATACATACCCTTTAGGTTTCATGTAACTTTTATGGCTCTTTTTTTGGCGAAGTTTTGAACCGGTGGAATTATTCAACTCTGTGCACTGGAAGTAATATGCAGCCAAAATGATCAGCACTTGAACAACATTGAACATGTACTTGCTGCAAACTTATTTTACGCTAATATTACAATATAGAATACTTATTTAATAAATATACTTGAATATAATCCTTACGCTTTAATTGTTGATGTTAGAGCATGGCTATATACATCTTTCCCCGATGCTTGTCGAACAAAGCTTTGCTTTTAGCGTCCCCTCTGTACGCAACATTTATAAGGGGCAGTTTTAGACATCACTAAGCGGTTTAACCAGCAAACCCTTCGAATAAACAAGTTTCAGTTGGTTTTACGCGTACCTGACAACCAAGAACGTGCTTGCAAAAGCTAATTGGAAAAAATGTGACTGAGAAGCTATCACTTATGCAGGAATCGCCATCTAGCTTACCACGCGGACGTGAAGGGTTTGGCCATGGTCGCAGCCCACTGCGTTTGAGCCCTTTGTTGACATCAATGAAATCAATTAATTTTTGGAGCACGCGTGAAATGCTCCTTATTGAGATCAGTCATTATCAATCGTCTGGCGGGAGGGGGGATCCCATGGTTTTAAGGGGGCACAGTTGGGGGATCAGTCGTCACCAGTGGAGTGAGTCAATACGCTCGATACCAGCAGAATTTTAATCCTACATACATACATACATACTAACTTTACTTCCGTTCGAAGTTTTAGAGTAGCATAGAGGTGCTAATTTCTCCGAACAAAGAAACTGTCTAAGTGAGTAAATAGGTAAGTCTTATTCATGGAAAACACTAATTCAATTTCATAATTATATTTCAATAAATGAAACCAATCAAATATATTAAATAAGATAAGTAAAGGCTACTTGTTGCTAAACAGTAAAATGATCTATAGTCTCAAATACAATTTTTAAATCTTTAAAGTCATTGAGGCTCGAACATATTCGTCTAAATCGTTCCATCTTTTTGCAGTAGAATTTATGTAACTTACGGATTATATAACAACAATACTTAACTTCCTTCGTGTAACTCTATTTTAAATGATATGAAGCAGTTCATATTTTTTGCCGTTGAATACGAGCCATATTTATATACAATCAATAGGCTCCAAAGAAAAATTGTATACAGGTTCTTCCTTTGAGATCAGCCATAAAAATATTAAAAAAAAAATGACTTTCTAAGTTTTTATCCTCTTTTTTGTTATTTGCCACAATGCTACGAAACGCTGGGGAATTCCTGCTATTTCTTTTTGTGTGCAAGATGATTTATGCTTAACGATCTGTTTTTTACAATGATTTCGATGAAGTATTTTACTTCCTTTCACCTTTTCTTTTTACTCTCTCTACTTAGTAGAGATAGACCTCTGCTGTTATTAATAAATAATCGAATTCTTCGTCTTCTGCTGTGAACCCTGAAACAATACTCTCCAGCCGCTGTAACAGGTCATGTTCTCTCTTACGTAATTTACGGAGGGAAGACTTGACGACATCCTCTTGAAATCTTACTTTCTTTTTTTCTCTACGTTTGCTGCAGTCGTCATTGCTTTCACCTCTCAGAGATTTTAACATGTTGCTTATCCTGTCGAACAATGCTTGTCTCCTTGTACTGCATTGCTGTTTATCTATTGTTTCTCTGGATCTTTTCTTCCTCCAAGCTATGATAGCTTGACTTATTAAATCAAAGTTAAGATTGGAATTGTTCGTGGGGTCAAGGCCAATGTATCCAGATTCTTTGTCCTTCACTTCTGCTGACGTTTTAGAGGTTCTCGACTGTTTCAACTTGTTACTGATTGCATTGAAAAACTCTTTTCTTTCTTTTGAGTTCGAGCAACGGTTCTCATCGATAAGATCATACAGCTCACTTTCGCTCACAAAGTTCTTAGCATCCAAAAGAGCATCGTTGATTATGCCAATAAAGAAGTTCATACAGAGAATAGTGAGAGTGAAGAGAATTAAGAAGGCGAATATTTTGGCGTATATGGTGTCGGCCTGTGCTAATTCATTGATTGGTCTAGCTTTCACTCGACCAAGAGTTAGCTCGAGTTGAAAATAGGCTCCTTTTAGCACCGAAGAGTAGCGCCCAGATACAGAGCCAAACACTAAGACACCGAAGTGCAAAAATGCCACAAAGAAAATGGATAAAACGATGCTAAAGGATAACAAAGATCGTGCAGATATCTTCAATGTTGCGGAGAATAGAGCAACATAGTTGTTGAAGCGAATGATTTGCAATAGCTTGATGGTGACGATGAAAGTAAGAATTCCAAGTACCACATTTTCCACTTCTTGGCAAGTGATAGCTTCTTGGAAACTTAGATTTCCGTAAATGTTTTTATGCAGTTTTCCCATGGTTGAAATGGTTTTACTTTGTCTTATTATGTACATCACCACGGAAATCAGAGAAAAAACAATTTGAAATATCTCGACCCAATTCCAGATAGACTTGAAATATCGAGAACGATGACTGTAAAGTCTGAAAATTTCCCTTCCAAAATACAGAAAAACGAACACAATGTACAGGAACAAGCAAATCAAATAAAACTGATGCGAGGGTGTGCCCGTAGAATCAAGTGAAAGAACACGAATTTGCATGGAGGCTACTCTCAGTCCAGATGCATCAACTTCATAGAAGTATGTGGCAACACTTAAAATATTCACCGACGGATTGAATGTGGAAAACTCTGCCAGGACAACTCTGGTTTGCCTGTCAAGCCAACCTTTGTTTTGTAAATTTGTTATTATGCTAAACCCCGTATGGTTATCATAACCGAGGTCTGCTACAAATCCTCCTCCCTCATAAAAGGAGAAATGTCCCCACCTGGGTGTAGTGTCGGTTTCCTCGGCATGTTGATATCGCCATGGCTTCGGGCAAAGTTGTAATAACTCGTCATTCCTCGCAGCATTGTCGACAGGCCTCCAGCCTGGTTTGTTGTAGGCGGTCTTGTCTTCGTTCTTTGTCGAGTATCCTTTGAAACATTCTTGGAACGATGTTTCCATATAGTTTAGGACTTTACATTGCGCTGAAAGTTGGAACAAAAGATCATGATTAGGAAGATTTTTTTTGGTATTCATTTCACTCAGGGATGACACATTTCGTACTTTTAACAAATATGGACGTCTCTTGTTATGGAGAATTATTAGAAGCCTTCATAGTAGCATTTGCTTTTGGAGGAGAGGAGCGCCGTCATCAAAACCTAAATTTAATCAACGTTCATAATAAAACGCAGCTACCTAAACACTCGTCTAGAGAATTGTCAGAATGTTCAGGAGTCGAGAAAATTGTAACCAGTGCATGTTCAATATTTTTTCTTTAAGAATTTCAATAAGCTATTGTTTAACTCTTAATTAAGTTTGTGCACCGATTGCTTCTTCATCAGGCAAAATTATATGTGTATAACTATAATATGTGAAATGACGTGTGTGGGTAAATAGCCTTTCAATGAAATGCAAAGAGGAATAAAAATGGAAAAAAAACTTACTCGCTTTCACTCTGAGTTGCCTTACTCGAGCCATTCCGACGATAAGAGAGTGTTTATTACCAATATAAATTGTTTGCTCATCCCTTTGACCGTTGTACCATCTGCCAGAAAACACACCTGGTATGAAAACACGCTGTAACCAGCTCCAGTACATTGTATTGTTTGTCACCTGAATTAGTACAAGATCATTGGGTTAAACAAAATAAATAAATAAACAAATAAATATATATATATATATATATAAATGAATTGTTAATTGAATTGTCATCAGTTAACAAGGGTAATGAACTCGTGTCTTCATACCTTCACAGAAACAAAGCGTTACTGCGCAACAGCTGAACAAAGCACCTAAATTTACCGCCACATTTATCATGCAAATTTTATAGTATATCTTCGATGGTTACAAATATTCTTTCCATAAAAATCCCCTGAAGAATGATCTAATCACGAAACAGGCTTGTCGAGAAAAATGAATAAAGGGGTAAGTTTCTAAAGAAACTGTGGTGCTGCGTCGGTGGGAGAGTATAGCAGGTAATTTAGAGTTAAAAACTGGGTTGAAAACGTAAATTAGCCACCGTAAAGGGTAAAAAAGCAGACGTTTCGAGCGTTAGCCCTTCGTCAGAGCGATTGTGGAGAAAAAACCTTGGTCTCTGTTTTTTTTCCCTAGCTCAATTCATATCACGCTGTATTTCCATGTATCAAGCACTGTAATACGGAAAAACCGAAACATAGACTTCACATATATATATATATATATATATATATATATATATATATATATAGTTTTTTTTTTTAAGTATAGCAGTATGGACAGACTAGCAGAAGTTTGATTCACAGAAGCGAGTTACTATTTATGGGCGTGTCCTAGAATATTATTCTCGCTTGCTTATTTTCGTTGCACCCATCCCCTCAAATATTATGTTTGCCGCTTTCTGGCTCTTCTCCTATAGCAGAATTGAATGCCAATGTCTTCATGGAATTATACATCTATTGCTTGGAATTTCTTTCCAGTCCTAAATTTGGGTGTAACACGCGCACTAACATATCTCTTGTACACTGTTTCTAAAGGGATATTCCTCCTCAAAATATCCATTACAAGAGCAGAAAATACCTTAGTCATTTCTTGAAGAGACCGGCAAAGTAAAATTTTTCTTCATATATTTGATTTTGGATCTCCATGGGAACGAAAAGTCATAAGATAAATTAAACACGCGAATTTCAGCAATGGATTTATCATAATCAAATAATGTTTACTCACCTTGCCAAAGTTTGGTAGTCCATCCTGGATTGATTTAGTCATCAAGTACCGATGGTCATTTCTGTTTCCATAGCACACTGCCATAAGCAAGAAAACGAAGACCAAGTATAAACCCAACTCTGTGAAATAACGTGTCAGGTTCTGTTTCTTAGCTTGTCGTCTTCTCATCTCTTCCACCTCTGATAATTGCAGAGCCCAAAAGTGTTTCTTATAGTACCCAGTTTTAACTTCCTGCGGAGGGCTTCCGCAGGCGTGTACTTTTGATCTCTTCGCCTTTATCTTTAAAATGGCCGCGAATGTTAAAGCTGTGAAGAACACCTTTACTGGTTCCTTGATTGTTACGTCCTGCGCGAATGAAATAAGCATCGAAGACAGCCACTGTTCACTGACACTCTTTTCCCAAACTAGACTATAGAAAATGGAAAACGCAGCCGAAACAGTACAAGAGAAAAATAAGAAACACCAAGCGACACCAGAGATCAGGGTACCTTTAAGACAATAGTCATTGTTCGTGGCAGACTTTTCAGCTCCTTTCTGAAAGAGAAAAACTATGACAATGTTTATGGGTGTCACAACAAACGCGCTTTCAATTCCAGTCACCACTTGTCTCCACGACATTTTCAGCGGTCCGACTTGGATAGGCTGTTCATATTTGCCTTCTAACTTATAGAACATCGCGTTAGCAAACATGGATGTCAAAAGCACTGAGAGGCAGCAAGACAGTCGCTGTACTCTTGTAAAGCGACTTTTTCTCAGCTTGGTTACTACTGAAACCCAAATATGCCACTCCGCGAGGCCTATTCGCCAACGTCTTGCAACTTCATTGCCAAAATCCAGATGACTTGAGGTCTGGTCGATTACTCGCTCGATGCGCCCATCTCCACGCTCAAGAGCAAACCACTGATTGGCCATGAATTTCCACGACTGCTTGGATTGTACGTCCCGAATCAGAATTTCTTCAAGGTACCACGAGGGATTATCTCCAAAATTATCATGTCCAATCTGCACTCCTTGAATCGCACCAAGTGATTTGTCAACATAAAGCACAAAAACATCTGAATTACCTCGAGAGAATAACGTATTATCTGCACCAGGCTCTTCTTGGCTAAGTTGAAGGATGCCACTCTTTCCATCGCAACCGTAAATCTCCAAAGCAACATGAGCAGTTGTGCCTGAGCTTTTCCAAGCCCCTGTAGTAATCACTATAACATATTCATAGGTGCTGCTTGAAGATGATGGAAGTCGGATCGGTAATTTCCTCTAAAAAAAGCATGATAAAGCATGAATTACATTGCGAGCTGATTTCTATTTTTAATTCGCTCTTTTTATCCCAGTCCCAAAAAAGGAAAATAATCCATGGTCACTTCATTTTTAAACTCTCAATATCAACAAACCTTTAAAGCGAATAATGCTGTCAACATTAAAGCCTTTTTTTTTGCTTAACCGTTTAACTGCCAGAGGTGATCAACATGCAACTTCTCCCAAAAATATCGGTACATTATCTAGGCAACAGGTCATGAGAATACTCAAAATTTTCCGGTAGAATTTGTTATCTTGATCTATTAGCAAATTGTCATGACTTATTTACAAAAAATTGTATAGCAACCTGAGGGAGAATTAACAATTAGATCATAGGAGGAAAGGGTTATACTGGAGAGCATGCTCCGTTAAAACAACGGTCCTTAGCAATATCTGGTTTTACACTTACATTTTTCGCGTCTTCCTCGTCGAATTTCCTTACGATAACAAGCACAGTCACATAACATAATAAAATCACCGCAATAACCACAATTACTGCGATATTTCCAGTTTCTGATAACTGCTGGAACTCGACTAAAACCTTGTCGAAGTCAATGGGATTCGGTTCAACTAAAAGACTTCCCCCAAATGATGTCAAGTGGCTACAGCGACAGTTTAAAAATCCATCTATTTTTGCTAAAACCTGAAATTATAAAATGCAAGGAAGATGTTAATGATAAAAATTATCATGTTGGCTGTCACCATTAATCACTCTGTTTTTTTAAGGCGCTTTTATACCCCGGCTGGCTATCAAATCGATTCGACTTTTGTCTGAAAATGTTCTCTCATCAAAGATTAGACTGAATTCAATTATACGCTTAATGAGTGAAGATTATTACAATACCACAGCACTTTTGCAAACAGGAAAGCTCAAATGATCTAAACTGTGTTGAATACAATGCCAAATTAGATAAAAAAGATTGCGCTGAAAAATCGTTATTTAATTTTTCACTTACTCGACAACCAGATGATATCCACTTTTCAATTTTTTCTGACCAGTAAACACAACTACCCAAGGTCACCTTCAGAGTGTAGTTGTGGTCTGTTGTGGAATCATAAACTGGCATCACAGGGAAATTTTGACTCTGGGGTGGGGTGGGCGGTGGATCTTTGGCTTCGACGCAGGAGCGCTTCCTTCGCCTTCCACTAAGACAAGATCTTTTCTCCCTTGTGTGGGATAAGTTAATTGTGGCATTGTAATTTTTTAAGCCGAGAAAGTATTTCCCAGGACGCTCAGCCAGAACCTGTATCGTCGCATTTGGATTCAAGGAGCAGACTGTTTGCCCTTCACTTTTTTCATGTGCACTTAGCATCCAAACACACTTTTCGTCATGAGAGATAGTGGCATTGAGGTCGTAGTCTTGAGTTGTCGGTCGCTGATTAAAACGCATATAGACAAAAAGATGTACGGTTGTATCTTGAGGTTTGATTTCCATTATCAGCAAGGTGTTTTCATACCTGACTTTTATCTCGTGGAAACGTAGATCATCGTTCTTTGTGAAATACCATGACTTTTCTGAAGCAGAGATTTTCTGAAGTTTTAAAGGCATAACGATAACAATGTCTTCCGTGAGATTTGATACTTTAATAAGCTTGCTGTCGTTGTTTTTCAAGTGCAGGGTTACAACATCAGAGCCAACTCGCTCCTTTGTGCTGTCCCAAGTGTAAGGGTTGAAAGAAAACGAGAACATCTGAAAGAAGAATGATTAAAAATTTGTTTGTTTTTGTAGACTGCTATAATTGAACACGTAAACAAGGTACTCATTCTTAGTACTAATCATAAGTTATCATAAGTTGAGCGCAAAATAAAACTGAAAATATATTAGGAAAAACAGCGAAAAATAAATAACATTCATGTGGTCACTTATTATGAAATATTTTCAGAGTCAGTATTTTGAAACCAGAATGAAAATGCAGGAGAAATGGCGGGTGGAAGACCTGATCCTGTTATCAACTCAGTTGTAAGGTTTGCTTAAGGCGATGTGAAGAAAATCAAGCTTGACTGATTCTTTTTTGTTGTCCCAAGTGACAGAGTTGAACATGTCAAAACCAAAACAAGAAATATGATTGCTGGAGGTAATAAGGAACCTTTAAGGTACCTAATGTGCTACTTTAATGTTACTGGTGTCGGTATCTGCCAAAAAAAAAAACTTAGATTGAAATTTGCCCGAAGGGCAGGAAAACCTACCTGAACATCTACAAAACTTGTTTTGTTTACTCCAGCGAGTAATAATTGGCTCTTAGAAGGTAAGATAAACCGGCCTTTTCCTGCTTTTATTTCCAGTCCTGAAAGTCTTTGGAGGCTATATCTTCCGACTGTCATGGATAGTTGTCCCGCTGTGAATGATATCGTTCTTTCATCAGGTACTGTCAAGGCCAACACTGAGTCTGCAACTTTCTCGAGGGTCTTCATTGAAATCTTCACCAATAGTTTACCCTGTAGAAATTCCATAAATAACCATATAATGTAAGCAAACTATGGATTTTCGCAAGCTTAAAACAAACATACATACAAACAAACCTTAAAAGGTCCAAAATATGAATGAAGAAGGGAGTAACGGTTAAGTTTACAACAATCATCAATGGACCATTCGCCAATGAATATAGACTAATGTACATTACAGTACCAGTTGTTGAAAACTTGATTTGAAGTTTTCTGATGCAATCACTGCTGCTGCCTTCAACACGCTATTAAGACATGAAGCCAAGTTTTCTGCTGATTTCTTTGTCAGTGGTATGTCTGCTACGTCTTGTTTCTGGGCAAGAGACCATAGTCGTGACGTCATTGAAGTGATAGCAGATAAGGAGAAATTCTATGGAGTGCAAATGAATTTAAATGAAGCTAAAAATGCTTGCTTTCAGATTTCTTTCCTATGACCGTCCTAGAGATAATTTGTGGCGAATTAGTTAAAGTATGTACAAAACTATAGGTTGGTTCATTTGATAACGCAATAGTTGCTTGTTTTTATGCTTGTTCATTTCCGTTTTCTTCGTCTTTGCTGTTGTTATTATTACTGTTTTTCTTGAGCTTTTCTGGTCAAATAGTTTCACGGTATGAAAACTTGACGTAACCACCATCGCTATTCCAGCCCCAAACAATATTACGTAATTAACTTACCAAAAACTGATGGGGCACTTTCTCCAGAACCTGAAGAGCAGAGCCGATAACTGATGATTTTTGAAGCAGGTCGGAGACAGTTTTTGCTTCCAAGGGCGAAATTTTATCAAGGATGTCGTTCATCACCTTAAACAACGATAAAGATATTAGCTTAAAGTTATTTAAACCAGTAAAGAAATAGGCAACCAGACTGTATCCCCCATGTGAGGCTCGTTCCAAAGATATAGATCTAAAGGCATATTCAGACTCAACGTATCAGGTTTCCCTATGACATCGGCAGTTAAAACCCATCAAATGATTTGCAAGGGCATGATTGATCTAAATGCATCAAATCACCGAAAACGTCTAAGAAGAAAAAAAAAGGAATATTTAGTGATTTCTGCCCATGAAATGTATTTTGAAACCTCAATTTCAAGACGTTATAAGTATTCCTTTGTAATTTATTCAAAGCATTCTCCTCAGCATTCTTCATTCGTTAGAACGGAAGGTGAAACGCGAGAATAATGAAAAGTCAACGCTTAACATGCACGAAACGATTCTCGTGCTGAAAAAACATCAGATATTTAACGCATAAGCCTCCATTTTTCTCAAAAGTATGTTGATATTTTTAATGTATTATACTTGTCTGTTCTTCGAAAGTTGATTTTTTTTTTATTGTTATTATCTTCTTCATATAAATGTCTTCTCATTTTGTTGCACGTTTGGCCTATGGTAAACACTTTGCTTTTCGGATACTATCAGAATGAACTAGTTTTGTTTCACTTTTTAAGTAACGAACTGGGTTTGAAAAGTACCTTGTATTTCTCCTGCAAATCCATTGAGGTTTCACGTGAAACTGATAGAAGTAAAACGTTTACTAGTAACGCCGCTTCTCTCAGGTTTTTGATCTCACGAAGGTTTGCGATAAAATCGGGTGTTACATTCTGAGATGGCTTGATCTGCAAAAGTCAAAAGTAGTTATCTATAACTATAATTAATCTATTACTAATAGGGACTAAAAGAAATCAAATATTCTCACATCCTTTCACGCTAGACATTAAACTAATGGTTAGCGGCCTACCTGAACTTTCAAAGAGACTTGGGAAGCAGAAATTCCAAAATTGTCGGTCACTGTAGCAATAACTTTGACAGTAAAATTATCTGTACTATTCCCAGGTGGTATCCAAGAGGTAGTTATGCTGTTGTTAGCGCCACGATATAACACATTGTACAAACCATTCTCTAGCCTGTATTGAAACTGATAGGACAGAGGGGTGTTGTCACTTTCCCAGTTGCTACAGCTCAGACTGAAATTAGTCTCCAGTGAGATGCCGCTTGGCGGAGTGATGGAGCAGTTCCCCCCTCTAGGAGGTATTGCTGTAGGGGTTATTGCTGTAGGGGTTATTGCTGTAGAAAAATCGTAAGTGTTACTATCAGTCCCAATCCTTACACCTAATAGAACATTAACAGAGTCAGGGAAAAAATTCATGCGCCATACAGCTGCTCAATTTCTTGTAATTACCGGTACAGAAAAGTTCTAAATAGACCTGTGATATCTAACACCAGGAGTTCCAGATATATTGAAAGAAAATAAAATTTAGTCGAAAAATTAGAATGCAGCGTGAGCTGGGAAAGCAAGATTATAAAAAAGGAGTATACTCATACAGGTTACTTTAATGAAAAATGTAAGCAAAATATTCGCCGCATTTAACCCTTTAACTCCCAGAAGTGATTAACATGTAACATCTCCCTGTGACATCCAACTTACCGAGAAATGTGTGGCAGCTAGAGGGGAAAATTAACAATTAGATCTTGGAAGTTAAAGGGTTAACAGTTTTTTCAACATCTACATGTGCTCGTACACATGCATTAACAGCTTTAATGTTGACAAAACTCGTACTTATGCAGATTTCCTATATACTCATGTCATGACTTCAAAACTTAAAATAAATTTCAAATTTTTATTTATTCAGTTGAGGTTATTTAGATCAAATTGAGTCAAACGTTCTTGCGACAACACGATCAAGACTTATGTACAACTACCGGTTATGATGGGAAATGCAAACGGCGTAAAGGTTCGTAATTTCAAGGTTGTCACCATTACTCAATTTACAAAACTTGAATGAAACGGATATTTTATAATAAGTGGACGCTAGCGAGGACCTTTTTGGTTTCCTTTCAACACAGGTTTTACTAGATGCGTTATAACACCTCAAGTCGCCGCTGTTAAGAAGTGCTACACCTGAGTACATAGGATATAGTGTATAGTATATAGTATCATACCTTGCTGCGAAAGCGATGGCGACGGCGAAGGCGAAGGCGAAGGCGAAGGCGAAGGCGAAGGCGAAGGCGAAGGCGAAGGCGAAGGCGAAGGCGACGGCAACAGCAACGGCGACGGCAACGGCGAAGGCGACGGCAACAGCGACGGCCACGGCGACGGCGATGGCGATGGCGATGGCGATGGCGATGGCGATGGCGATGGCGATGCTTAAGATGGGTGAGAATATCAATCTTCGATTAGAACGACATGTTAACCGAGCTCTTTTTTACTATTTACTGTAGATACTATCATACCTTGCTGCGACGGCAACGGCGACGGCGACGGCGACGGTGACAGCGACGGCGAAGGCGATGCTTAAGATGGATGAAAATGTTAATCCTCGATTAGAACGAGATGTTAACCGAGCTCTTTTTTACTATTTACTGTAGATACTATCATACCTTGCTGCGACGGCGACGGCGACGGCGACGGCGATGCTTAAAATGGATGAAAATGTTAATCTTCGATTAGAACGAGATGTTAACCGAGCTATTTTTTACTGTTTACTGTATATTGTGTCATACCTTGCTGCGACGGCGTTGGCGACGGCGATGGTGACGGCGATGGCGATGGCGACGGCGATGGCGACGGCGATGGCGACGGCGATGGCGACGGCGATGGCGACGGCGATGGCGACGGCGATGGCGACGGCGATGGCGACGGCGATGGCGATGGCGACGGCGATGGCGATGGCGATGGCGACGGCGATGCTTAAGATGGATGATAATGTTAATCTTCGATTAGAACGAGATGTTAACCGAGCTATTTTTTACTGTTTACTGTATATTGTGTCATACCTTGCTGCGACGGCGATGGCGACGGCGATGGCGACGGCGATGGCGACGGCGATGGCGACGGCGATGCTTAAGATGGATGAGAATGTTAATCTTCGATTACAACGACATGTTAACCGATCTCTTTTTTGCATTTTAGGGCTTTTCTCCTGGCACAAGTTTGTAAATTTTTCAAAAAATTGGGTAGTGAATGACAGGGAACGCAAACGGTAATTTTAAGCTTGTCACCATTACTCAATTTATGTTTTGTACTTGGGACATATTTCACGCCGTTATAGTGACCAACTCTTCTTACTTGCAGATTTCCTATAAACCTGTGGTATAAGCCTCATGTGATGACTTCAAAACTTTGATGCTCACTTAAAGGAGAATGAAAAATAAATTCCATATTTCTACTTATTCAGTTTAGGTTATTTAAATCAAATTGAGTCAAACGTTCTTGCGACAACACGATCAAGACTTATGTACAACTACCGGTAATTTATGAATGTTAGCCTACCTGGAACGATAACCTTCAAATACAGTTTACGCATTAATCCTTAAAACCCTTCTAACAATGACTCAAATTTAATTTCTCCCCACAGTACCACCCCTAAGTCACACATTAAGCCCATGAGAATAAAAGAGATGATCACCAACCCTAAGAAGCTTTTGATTGTTCTACTTGATTCAGCAACTTGGGAAACGTGTAGAGAACAGTATGGAAAATATGCATACAGATGTTAAGGTGCAAAGGGTTTACATTGTATCTGCTGACAATTTTCCAGCCGGATGCTTTTCAAGTTGTGAGAGCATTGTTCCAATTTCATTTAAGACAATTTATGAGAACTACCCTCCCCTCAGACCAGTCATCAATTATTTGAGGGGGGGATAAAGTCAGCGATACGAGGGCAAATGTCAAACAAATAAGTAGGTTATCATCTCATCACTGTCTCATTCACCGTGAATAAGACAATGTTAATGACTGTTACTTGTTATCCAGAGAAAGGTAGAAGTAGGATATGGTTTGCAAAACTCTCCAAATTATTTTTTTTAAACCTATCAAGTTATAGCTCTCATATTCTTGCCTTCTGCACTATGTGGATGTGAATTAATTCAATCTCCATGTGTCAAAATAGATAACGTACTCATCCCTTTTACACCCTAAGATCATTGTGTATATTCTCAACACTGTTCTCTGCGCATTTCCTAATGTTCTGAATAAGAGAATTTGTTAATCAATCAAGAGTTTCATCTATCGACCTTAATGTTTCATTCAGGGGTGATATTGTAAGGAGAAATAGAATGCTAGTCACCCACAGGGAGTGAGAGGGATAATCTATTTACCCCTAAGCATTAAAGGGAAGGAGGCAGGTCAAAATAAAAACATGACGTCAAAGAGGAGATTGCCCATGAATTTCAGTCCTAAATAGAAGAGGATTATTGGTTTTCCAGATTTTTTTCTTTTTAAACTCAAATATCTTGTCATCAATTGATTAAATCAAAGTTTCCTTTGAAGAATGGGTAACAGCATTTGTAAGAACACCACTTTTGAAATCTTGAGCCTGAATATTTATTGCCATCCAATTTACATGTTACAACGTGGTAAATACTGCAAAATTAAATAATTGCACAATTCTTAACAAAGGATTACAGGCTACAGACTCAGCTCCAACAACTTTTGAAGAAGTACGTATGGCAATCATGCAGTTACAACTATGATTAATATAAGTGAAAAGTTTGATAGCTGACAAATAATCATTACAATCATTGAACCTTATACATTCTAACAAAAACAGGGTCAATAGCTCCAGAGCTTCTCTCATACATTCGTGTTTACAAAAAAAAATCATTAACTTTTTTTCTCAGGGGGTGAGGGGGGTTCCACTATAAATAAAGTAGTTGTGCCAAGCACAAATACATCATTTCAGTTCTCATTGTACAGGTCAGATGAAAGGTACATTCCTGTATAGGGACTGACATTTCAATTTCCTCTGTCAGCAAAGTGTTATCATCAGAAGTACAAGCCAAGACGTTTTTACCAATTAAGCGCTCAAGTTTCCCCAAAAGTCACCCTTGATACCAAGAGTAGATTTCACTACTTTTCCGGGCCATCTTCAGCTGGACCATCCTGTTGCATGTGAAAACATAAAATGTTACTCTCATGATTAAATACTGAGCTGAATAAAAAATTATTACTTTTTTTACAACCCGCTTCCTTTAATTGTCCTCCAGAAATACTAAATGACGTTGCATCGAAGAGAAATGAAGAGAGTTACTGAAGTATTCCATTTTAAAAGATAATTCATCCTTGATGTTGCCTCAAAAACATCTCTTAATCTAAATTAAAGTTACCATTTCATGCAAACAAGCCATGATGAAACAGTATCAATGAATAAATCCAACCAAGTTTATAACATAGCTAGTATATTTGTCTAATCAAATTCAATTGCGCGAGCGTGCTTCGTATTCCTATTGTGCACGCTCATGACGTCAGCAAACAAATCCCTCGAGAAAAAAAAAATTTCCATCTGGTTGAAAATGTTATAAAACAATTGGTTGATACGTCAGCTGTGCGTTCATCGATGAAGCACGCAGGAAGTTTGCTACGCGTCGAGCAACTCTTACGCATCTTTCGTGCTCTCCAAACTTCCCGCGTGCTTCATCGAGGAACGCACGCTGACGTACGAACCAATAGTTAATTGAATGTAAAATCCAAAATCTAATTAACCTGCAGATGAGCAGGAAAAACTTTAAACATATCACAAGTCAGTCACCAATAAAAACAAATGCTTCAAAATTTTATGATCTTCATGTACAGGTATAGTCACTTCAGTTTGATTTTTTAGCTCATTCATGCAGAAAGCAATGAATGAGATATTGAGGTAAAGCAGAATAGTCTCGCATCCTAAAAAAATCTAAATTAATTTCGGTGAAGCTCAGAAATTCACGCGGAAAAAATAAAATGTTTGTAGGGTTTGATAAAGATAATAAGCACAAATTACAGTTCCGAATTTCTAAAAATGCAACTTGAATTGAGAAGCCAAAATGTCTACACCTAGGGGACCCGTAGCGAGCTCATTTCAACACGCTGTGATCACGCAGAAGGGTATCAGAGGCAGCCATATTGTTAAGCCGCGCAAGCGTTCGTCTTCAGTTGGTATAAAGTAATCATTGCTCCATGATTGTGCTTGTCCTCGGGAGCTCTTCAACATACAGCCCACACGGCCAAGATAGTCTCACTAAAATATAATTTGAGCCCCGATATTTCGGTTTGGAGTTGAAGCTCCCTCGAACAAAAACAGCAATGCAAATCCGGTCGGTACAAAATGCAGACTGCAGACTGCAGACCGGGTACGAAATGCAGACTAGGTACACAATGCAGACTGCAGACTGAGTACAGAATGCAGAATGAGAATTTATACTTTTTTCTTGGTCCTCAACGTTCAGGGGTATGCACACACTGATTTGCGCATATGTGCCTTGTATTGTTATTGGCTTACATGAGGAACCGCCCCACAAACACACACACACACCAGCAAAAAGGACACTGCCTGCCTAATAACCTCTGCCCATCCCACCTCCAGCCCACATAACCTTTTTTCCAATTCCCATCACCACGAATGCACAAGTTTTCTTAACACACAACTGCGCAAAAATAAAATAAAATTTATTCCAAAAGTCTTGAAAGTTCATATAAACCGAATTTAACTGTACCTATATTCAGCAAGTCCAAGAAATCAATGCAAATGAATGAGCTAGCTCCAAGAGCCCTTTGATTTGGTGTTGTGTGCTTTTTCTTGCAACCATATATTTTTAGTATCTATAAGTGACAATTGAAGTTTCCCTCCAGTATTCTGTGATTTTTTTTTCTTTCGGAAAACTTAACTTAACTTTAGACTTTCCCTAATTTTGCAGTCGAAATTTTGAAAAAACTTTGAGTTATTGACGATTATTTGTGGCCGTAAGATTGCAAGATGTGGGCAAGATTGCAATACGTTCAGCCCTGCGTGAAGAACCCTTGAGTGTTTGAGTGTGTTACATCTACACTAATTTCAGATTGCTGTCCTTCTTCAAAGTTTGGAAAAGAACTGTTGACTTACTTCTGTAAATGATTGAATCGTTCTTTTTCAAGTCCACTAGGAAGCTCAATTTTATCTCAAAACTTTCTTACAACTTAAATGTGTTCGAACATGGAAAGAAAAACAGACGCCTGCTGCTACTTTACAAAATGTGTTATTGCAGACAATTTCGCCATGTGAAATAAATGATAATTTGAAACGAAAGAAGTTATAAAAAACCAGTCTGTTGTCGTTAGGGTAGCTTATTGTATTGATTTCACTGATCGAGCACGTTGCTTACTGCTAAAATTTGCTAAGAATTTTGGATTTAACAATGGCGTGCTTAGTAAGAGAATGTCCGTCGTGACGTAAAGACGATGTTGCGATTCTTAAAAGTTTAGCCTGGTCTTTCCGTACGGAAATGCAAAGCCCTAAACTAATATTTATATCCTCGAAAACAATACTTATTCCACTTATTACGAGCTTAATCTGAGCCGATACTGAGGTATACCACACAGGGAAAGTATTAATTTGAAAATTGCTAGGAAATGCGATATTTGTATTTTGAAATATTGGTGATTTCCAATAGCGTTCCGCGAGCTTCAAATTTAATGAAATGATCCCGTATTAAACTTAAAACATTCGTCAATCCTTCAAATAAATATCTATCAAATTGAGAAGAGCCTGCTTTCTTTTGCACTTTTCACGAGCAAAGTTCATTTGTCTCAACTCGGGGCATTACTTTAAGCCAAGTTACGGCTACCGACGCCCGTTTCAGTTTTCGCAAATTTTCCAGAATAAAGAAGCAAATCTGGGCGAGAAACTTTACCACGTTTCTAAGTTCACTATACAGAATCTCTGACTTAACTTT